CGCGGAGCAGAAAGGTGAGGTGGGGTTGCGGGGGGCCCTTGACCTCCGCCCGGAGGAAGCCTGGGTCTGAGGTCCCTCTCCTCGGCTCTGCGGCCCCGGCTACTGGTCCTAGGAAGCGGGTTTAAAAGAAGTGCCATTCCTCCCTTTTGAGCTCTTAGAGGAGACCTTGGAGGGAGGGAAAAACCTTACAGTACCCGTCCCGTCCTCCCCCCTCACCACACACACACACCGTTAGCAGTGGCAGGGCCGGGGCCCAAGTGGAGGAAGAGAGGATTTCAGGACAAGAAAGGGAAGGAGTGGGAAGGAAACTAGGTAGGTGGGGTTAATCTGAGGCTCCTCCCTGACCTCCCCCCCACGTGGTAACAGGACTGCCCTTTGGCGCTTGAGACCCTTGTCAAACTAGCCCTCCCCAAGTCCCTTCTGGAGGCCCGGGCCTAGTAAAGTCAGAGCAATGGAGAGTAAATAGTTTAATGTGTAAGCCCTTCCAGGGGCATTTGCATTTTAAAAACAGACAGCTGAGAGAAGCTACACTTTTAGCCAAAGAACTCAAAGTACCTAAAACTGCACAGAAGGACAGAGATATTTCCCCCTTTGTCTGTGAGGTCTTTCGGGGCAGCCTCATTCAAATCCATGGTTATTTCAGACCCCATCCTCCTGAATGAACAAATTTTGCCATCCCTACTTCGTAGAACACAGTTCTTATAAGGCCTGTGAGGTGAAAGCGATGTGATGTTCCAGAAGACTTTGTGAGCTGGGAGAGGGTGAAGATGGAAGGGAGGCGAGGAGCAGGGCCTAGACCCCACTTCCCCTTTGGGAAGTTGCTCTTTTTTCATCACACATCCATCTAACTCCACAAATACTACCAAATGCCCAGATTAGGTGCCAGGCCAAGAAGGAGACAGGTAGGTACTGGAGTGATGGCTGCCTTCTGGTTTTTGACCCCTGCCCTCATCCCTCAGGGGAATCCAGGCTGTGGGTCTTGGAGGCCTATGTCCAGTCTCTCTCCCACTTGTGTCCACACAGCGAGAAATCTACTATCCTGATTTTATGTTACCTTATCTAGAACTAACTAGCCAAACTGTGACAAAGGGTGTGTGCAGATACAGTCACAGGCACTGGCTGTTGTTTCCCTGCTGAAAGCCACATTGCATTGCAACTGTCTGGCCTGGAAGAATCCAGAGCTTTGTTTTTAGGTTCCCTTCTAAACTGGCGTCCTGGTCCCCCTGCCGCCTCAGCCCCAAAGTCAGTGAAGGGAATACTTCTGCTTCTTTTGCTCACAAACAGTTGGTGGTGTGAAACCAAGAGCAATTTATGTCTGTCTCTCTTCCAATGACAAGCATTTATACAATGGGTGGGATTTAGGGCCAGGGACTACAGGGACCTACTCATAGTGTCCATGGTTTGGTAGGAGACTGACAAAGAAATGGGCCAATTGCAGAACATGTGAAATGTGTTACTCCAAGGGAAAGATTCAGAGAGAACAAGCCTGGGCCCTGATTGAGCTCTGGAATGTTTCCCAGAGGAGATAACCTCAAAGCTGAGTTCTGGAGAAGGAGCAAGAGGGGAAACTGTACATTCCACAGTGACGTAGAGGCATGCACATGCAGGTCACCTTTGGGGGGGGGGCAGTTCACTATGGGTGGGTCTGCGAACATGAGGTTGCAAGTAGAGAGAAGTGAGCAAGAGCCCTCCTGTGCCATGCTCAAAGTGTGGGCTTTATCCAAGGCGATAAGTTTATGGATTTCAAAACCAAAGATACATGATGAGATCTCTGTTTTAGAAGGCTCCCTGGAGCCTAGCTAGTAGAATGCAGCCCCCACCCCTTCAAGGTGTGCTGGATAAAGCAGTAGGGAGGGGGTGGGGTGGGGGGCAGGGGAGAAGAAGGAACAGAATAAATGAGCCAGGGCTGGCAGAGGAAGAGGGAGAGAGATGGAGATATCCAAAGTTAACTGTACCACTCACAGCCTGGAGAATTATTGCTGATTCAGCTGTTTCCAAAGTAACAGGGAAGGATGAGAATGCCCGCCTGGGCATCAGAGTCTTGAGAATGCAGACTGGTCTGTGCTGAACTGAAACACTCCCCAATGTGGCTCCCAGCCACCTCCTTCGGTGGCTCCTGCAGGCTGACAAAGCAGCATCAGGGGCAGGGCTCAGAGCTACAGGGATAAATGATGGGCTTAGTGGAACTGGACCAGTGTTTGGATGCCCTGGGCGGCCACTAAACCAGAAAATGCTCTAGAGGAGTATGAAATACTGTGGCAAATTTTGTTTCTGTTCTGCACACTCTAATGTCTGGGCCCAGCATGAGGTGTCCAGAGTTCTCTTATTGAACAGGCTGTTGAATTTGAAGCCCACTAATGGCTATGTATGTTTTTGTTTATAGTGAACCCACTTCAGGGAGATACCCACTCTCGAACCCCAGGCCTGAACTGGAGGAAGTGGAGTATTACCAGTCAGAGGCTGAAGGACTCCTGGAATGCCACAAGTGCAGATACCTGTGCACCGGAAGAGGTGAGCCATTATGAAGGCAGTTTGACCATTTACTCACCATTGCTGGTGGTTCTGCAAGGGGTCCAAGCCGGTGAAGCAAAAATTCAAGCAGACTTCCCTTTTGGCTTCCTAGTATCTTCGTTTCCATGCTATCTAAGAAAAAAAAATAGGAAGGAATGTCTGAAAGGGGCAGTGAGGTTTCCTGTGTTTGTGCTCGGGGTCTGGCCGCCAGCAATCGTCTGGCAAGGCAGGCCAAAATAGAGAGGGAAGATCACCTGGAGATGGCAGCCAGATTGAGCTCATGCCACAGGACAGGAGATCTGATGCCCAAAAACACCATCATGGCTTTTAAGCATTGTTAGCTGAGACCCACAGTAAGAAGTATATTGTACATTAAGAATAAGTTCGTGTGCGTGTGCTTACACACACACCCCACATCATGAAACGATACCCTGTTACGTACCAAGTACACTGATCGTTTCTATCCTATTCTGTTTCATTTAAACAAACAAAAGCAAAAAGCCACTTACTAGAATCCACAGTTTGAAGAACACTTAAATAATACCTGTGTCAGCTCCAAATGTGGTTTCCCAGAGTTCCCATCCTAGCACCAGACCTGGCCTTACCAGCAATCAAGAAAATCTGGTTTGTCAGGGTGAGGCCTAATGACTCACATGATTCGGTGAGAAACTTTCCTAGGCTGCCTGTGACTAATGAAGGGTAACTTCTCAGCCTAGGGGAGAGAAATCACGGGACTTAACACCTGAAAATGTCTCTTAGGATGATTACAATGATATACGTGATTATAGGATTATACAGAACTTTCACTGAAGAGCTCTACGCAATGCAGGTACAAGAATCCTCACTCTAGTTTACATATGTTGGCACACTTCATTGCTTTTAATTCTCTAGACAACCGCTGAATCTCAGAGAGGTACACACAGCTGTTAGGTGGAAGAGCTGGAATTGAAGCTTAGAGCCTGACTCTAAAGCCTGAAATGGTTTACGTACTTGACCTTTCTTCTTTTCTTGATGATGTAAATAGTAGCAATAAGCCAGAGGCTGGTTAACAGGTTTCTCCGCAGAGGTATCTTCTGTGATTGACTTACCAAGAGGAATGAGCAGAGCTGAGGCTCTGGACCAAAACACTACTTGACTTAGCTTTGATTGTCTCAGGCTATTTGGCTTTGGGCCTAGAGGTTGGTTCTGAGTTAAGATAGTGAAAGGATGGATGGTTCAGCTGTCAGAAGCTAACAAATGAGTGCTTATAAAGATCTCTGGATGCAGAGAGACCCATATAAATACACAATGCTGTGCTCTGCCGAGAGAAACAGCCATTAAATGCTGGGAACTTGTCTCAAGCAGGAAATGCACGCCTGGGTAAAGGTCACCTGAAGATTTTCAGGCTCATCTTAGAGCAGATCTTTTGTGACTTCTTTTCCTCATCAATGAAATCATGTCCTCTTCCAGCAAACTGGCAAAAACGGGAGGCAGCGGTGGCTGTCTCTAACTTCCTGCAGAGACCCTGATGTTTGGGCTGAGTCATCCTTAGGAGTTTCAGTGGAACACTGACAAAAAGAGATAAGCCCCGAATTCACCTTTACCGGCAAGAATCCACTCCTACTAAAATCTTTAAAGACTGAGGTTAAAGATCAGATAAAAAGCAAGTACAAATGTCACTTGGGCATATCAGATAACCAGGAATCCCATAGGTGTATAGGTTGTGCGTGTGTGTGTGTGGGTGTGTGTATAGATATACTACTAGGAGGGGCGATGATGAGTTACACATTCCCTGGGAAGAAGGTCCACGTCCTGCTCCCTCCTGGCTCCCTCCAATTTGCATTCGGAACAGCTTCTCTTTTCCCTTTTGTTCTTTTCCTCTCCCTTTAGATCCTTGGTGATCACATTATTATGGAGAAAATGACAAAAGGAGAAGTCAGGCCAGTGTAACAAGGAAATTGCAGGGGGGAAAAAGTTGCATTCAGCTTGTAGCGTTACTTGCAAAGCATCCTTAAAAAGTTAATTTCGTTCTCTCCCCAAGAGTTGTAATCTCTATAGTCAGTGGTGTTGTCTCTCACTTAGAGCCTGGAGGGCTGGGTTTTGGATGACTTCTCACTGCCAGTGGCATTGACCTGTGATGATGCTGAAAAGGTTCAGGGGGACAGTTGTGGGGTTTTCCTCCCCAACTTCCATTCTCAGTCCCTCTTTTATGTGCTTATTTAATACTCTAACCCAGTGCTGAGCTCATGTCGATTTCAAATCACTGTTGACTTTAAGAGTGTTAACTCATTAACAGACAGATCTGAAGGATTCAGCCAGAATCAGAAGAATAAATGACCTAAAATGCACTCCTTCTTAAGAGAGAGGGATGCTGACTCAGTGAGCCAGATGCCTTCAAGGGGCAGGTAAGGCCTGGAGAGGCTCTGGGCCTTTATTTTTAAAAACACACGTCACCAGACGTCTCCCCCAGCCCTGGTTCTTGTTTTCTGATTGGATCAAAGCTACAACAGAAATATGGGGCTTATGGGGGCTCTGTCCTCCCCAGACTCTGTGAAGAAATACATGCTCCCAAAACATGGGGAAAAGCCTGAATGTCCTTTACATTGGGACTATTTAAATTCATTGTGGCATTCTGTACATTCTTTAAAACTATAAAGTAGATTTATATTTGCTGAGGTTGAAAAAATGTTCACACTGTATTAAGTGAGAAAAAATAGGTTATGTAATAGAGAGAACAGAACCCTGTTCTTACCTAAAAGCAAATAAACAATAGCAAAAATTAGGCACACATGGCAGGAAAGTCCAGAAGGAGAAGTAATGGTAACAGTGGTTATTTTCATTGATTGGATTTTACATAATTTTTATATTACATGTTTCTGTTGAATCTAGATTTTCTTTTTTTTACCATCAATGTATGCTACTTTTATAATCAAAGAAAACAATTCTGCCATTTGCATTGCAGGGGGAAATGCAGAGTATAAAGATCTTATCTGAGAGTGCCTGGTTTCAGTTAGAGAATTTGCAGGCGTAACACACCTTCATGCTTAGGCCACCTGGACGCAGACACAAAACCTAGTTCCCTAAAAGCCAGAGAGATGCAACGGCCTGATCCCACAGCCAGCTGACCCCCCAGAATTGTGCCAGCTTGGGCAGCTCCCAGCTCAGGAGCTTTATGTTATGCTGTATGTTATGCTGAGCAAAGAGCCATAAACAGAAGAATATCTAAGTGTGTGATTGCATTTGCATGGAATTCTAGAAAGACAAACCTAATTGCTAATAATGGCAGAAAGCAGATCAGTGGTTGCCTGAGGAGGAATATGAGGGACTGACCACAGAGGACTACTGGGGAACTTTCTGGGGATGAAAACGGTCTATATCTTGATTACGATTACATGGCCCATACCGTCAAAACTCATCAGGCTGTGTGCTTAATACCGGTCACTTTGTTGTGTATACATTATCGCGCAGTAAAGCTGATTTTAAGGAAAGCGGCTAGCTTTGGTGGAAGAGCTGGAGCTCTTTCACTGTCCAAGTAAAGAAGCAAGGGTCCTGGAGGAATCCAGCCCTGGGAAAATATCACAGCCCGGATTTGCTCTTCAGGGAAACCAAAAGAAAACAAAATTAAACTTTAAAACATACTTATTGAGTTAAAGTCTAGGATCAGTAAAACCAATTATGTTTCTTAAATTCAGTTAGCCTTGTAGGTTTAATTAACTTAGTCTTTCTTATATCTAATACATGTGAACCACAGTTTACATTTTGATGGATAACTTCCATGCTTTTTCTTAACTTCATTCTATTTTTTAAGCACTGTATTATCACTTCTTTCAAACTTGAAGTTTCTTCTTTCAAACTGAAGATAGCCACAAAACATATCTGAAGAGCAGATAACTATTTTTTAGTCTTTTTGGCAGGGAAGGGCCAAGGCGGAGAATGTTCTTGCCTTTCATATAGGATGCCTTTCTTTCTGCTAACTGACCTGATTACTCCACCACCACCAGCTGCCCTTCTGCCCCTCATTGTCCTGCAGTTCTGGGGCAGGTTGCTGTGCTCTTTTGAGAGTTACCCTTTTCAGTCCAAAGTCTTTCTGACATCATTTCTGGAGACCACAGTTCCCTTCTACTATCTAATGCTACTCAATGCAGCTTTGGCTGCTCAGGCCTCCCAGGGGGCAGAGTAAAGAGCTGGCTGGTGTGAGCTGCCAATTGGAAGATAAGCCTCAAGGTGAAAGTCTCCAAGTGCAAAGTAGCATGTCTCAAAATGGTACCACGCCCTTCTTTTGCAGCCTGCTGCCAAATGCTGGAGGTTCTCCTGAACTTGCTGATCCTGGCCTGCAGCTCTGTGTCTTACAATTCCACGGGGGGCTACACAGGCATCACCAGCCTGGGGGGCATTTACTACTACCAGTACGGAGGGGCTTACAGTGGTTTTGATGGTGCCGTTGGGGAGAAAGCACAGCGGCTGGATGTCCAGTTCTACCAGCTAAAGCTGCCCACGGTCACTGTGGCCATGGCCTGCAGCGGAGCCCTCATGGCCTTCTGCTGCCTCCTCATTGCCATGGGTGTCCTGCGGGTCCCGTGGCATTGCCCCACATGGCTGGTGATCGAAGGCTTATTGAATGTGCTCATTGCCGGGGCGTATATCCCAGCTTTGTACTTCTACTTCCACAACCTCTCTGCGGCCTATGCCTCCCCAGTGTGTAAGGAGAGGGAGGCGCTGTACCAGAGCAAAGGGTACAGTGGCTTCAGCTGCAGTTTCCATGGGGGAGACATAGGAGCTGGAATCTTTGCTGCCCTGGGCATTGGGGTCTTTGCCCTGGGGGCCGTGCAGGCCATCAGGGGTTACCAGAAGGTCAGGAAGCTGAAAGAGAAGCCAGCAGAAATGCTGGAGTTTTAGGCTTTTTAAAACGTTCTGCTGAACTTGAGTGATGGAAGTTACTCTGAGCTGCTGTCTGTGATGGAATGCTTGGCTGTAGAGCTTGCCAAGCCTTGAAAAGTAACAGGCCATTTTGGCTTGCTGGACCCAGCTCCAGGTTCCCTGGTGCAGCACTCTGTGATGTAATATGTCCTGGTTCTGAAGCCCTCTGTGGTGAGAGACTAACCAAAATTACTTTAAAAAAAACAAAAACAAAAACAAAAACAACCAAAACTGGAGCCCAAGACCAACAAGGAAAAGGCATGTGCTGCAGCAAAATGCACTTCATGATTAAATAAAGGGAGACAACCAAGTGAATGTGAAGGCTTTTATCTTCAAAGTTCATGAAAAGCCACATAGACGTGAAACAACATTTCAGCCTGAAGTTCTCCAAACACAGCTGTCTTAAGCAGATTAGCCCTGAATTTTTTCCACGCTGAACTCTCAGTCCTTCATTTCCTTAATGCTCTGGATAGGGGTGGGGGTGGGGGCACTGGGGAAACTAGTCCTGTAAGATTTAAGTTGGAGGGAGGCGTGGGCTGGGAAAAGAGGAATCAGATTAATTCACTGAGTTGTAAAGAAGCGATTCTAACAAGCCCCTTAACAATGGTCTTGAAAGCTCAATAAGTGTTTTGTACCTCTTGTAAATGTGCCATTGTAGGAAGAATTCAACCCGACATCCAGAATTCAGGATCCATCCAAAATTAAAGAATATAAAATCTTTCCCAGCAGAAGAATGCTACTTTTGGCCAGAACTTCCTGGGTTCCTATTGTTTGTTAAATGATGACTTATGGCACAGTCCCATATATTCTTGGTACAGGTGAATGTGTTCTTTGCTTTATGTGGCTCCAATAAAAATCCAAAGAAAAATTTTAATTTGGAGGTGATGGTTCTCTTTATAATATGTTTATAATGTTATTTCCTTATTTATCACATTTAAAAAGTGAGTTCCATGTGGGTTTAGAAAAGAAAATACATATGTTTGCTTATATATGATTAGAAAACTAGAGGATAATGAGAAAGTATTACCAGTTTTTGGTCCTAGAGAGATTTAAACAATTTTTTTTTCATTTTATGTAGGACTTGACTGCACATGTATTAGTTTTACTTTAGAAAAATTAAAAATAAAAAATTTGATTTGCTCTCCTCGGTTCTTTTTTCACATTCACAGTGAAAAGGCAGATTGTAGATGTATAATGAAGCAGAGTATTAAATGATCAGCCACAAAAGGAGCCTCACCCAAGAAGATGCTAGTTTAAACCAAGTCTCCTGTCTTGTTTCAGTCTCCACTTCCCTCTACAGAACCTTCTGCTGTCTCCAGAGATTCGTCTCACCCACTATAGGAAGCTGCTCTCTTCTGATGTCTGTGAATCTTTCTGCACTAACCGCACACTTGGAAATACTGGAGCCTTTTTGATATTTTTAGCTAGGCCAGGTCAGGCCTGGCTGGTACTCTGATAATATTCAGTGGCCACATTCCTTCATCATTGGACCGGGCAACAGAGTTATTCCTCTTGATTGTCGCAGTTGATGGAATGAGTGACAAGATATGGATTTATTACATTTCGGCCTAGCAGACATGTGCTGCATGGTGCTGTTTGGCAGAATCTGTCCCAGAAGGAAACATTCCGGTTGTCCCCATCTTGTAGTAGCACAGAACCCTGCTTCCCTTTAGGGAGTGAGACATTAACCTGCACGCAGAAGGAAAAGCGAGGCAAAGAAAGGTGCTGGGTGCCAGAGATAGCTACTCTCCGTGAGTCAGAATGATGTCTGGGTCAATTTGCTTGCTCTGCTGTCTGGAGAGAGTAGCCAGTAGCTTATGGTGCCTGGGTGGAGAGTGGGCAGTTCTGCTCTGATGTTATTTTCAGATTTACATTAGAGGAATGTAGCTTTTCAACTGTCAGAGCCCTTAACTGTTGGGCCCTTGGGGACCTCCCAGGAATTCGTGTGGGCCCAGCAGGAGATAGAATCAGCAAGCCCAGTAGCTGCTGCCTGAGTACGTTACACACATTGATTGTGGTACCCCTTATGTCTAGAAGGTTTTCCTGATTTCTGGGAAACCACGCTTTTCATTCTCCATTCACCTCTTGGCTTCCACTGCCTTCTGGCACGCAAGTGAACCCCCAGGTGAACAGGCCAAGTATCCAGCAGTAGGATCCTGGTTGAATAGACTGGTCCATCCACACAGTGGGGTTGGAGGCCACATAATTGAGCATGTGGACACTGTAGGAGCTGATCTGAAAACACCTCTAGGAAGAGTAAGTGGAAAAGTGTGATGCAGAGCCATGTGTGTAGCATGCTCCCTTGTGACAAAAGCCGGGAACGGGGGATGAAATTCGGATTTGAGTGCTTTTATTTGCATAAAGGAATGCTGGAAAGTTATATCAGAAAATGCTTGAAGTAGTTGGAGGTAAAGCACAGGGTGGACAGGGACATAGGTGATTTTTCTCAGTTTATATTATGTCACTTTGATTTTTAAAAACCTTTAAACTTTGAAATAATTATAGATTCACAAAACATTGCTAATATAGTACAGAGATCCTGTGTAACCTTAACCCAGTTTTCCCCAGTAGTGACCATAGTACAATATCACAACCAGGAAACTTGACAACTTCCAGGGCTTATTTAGATTTTACCACTTTCACATGCACTCCTGTCTGTGTGAGTGTGGTTCCGTGTGGTTTTATCTCGTGTGACCATCACCACAATCAGCTACAGAATTGTTCCATCATCAGGCATCCCTAGTGCTCCCCTTTATAGTCACATCTACCCCAAACTCCTCCACCTCCCATGCTCCCACTCATCCCCATCCCCCAACAGCCATGGATCTGCTCTGCAGCTATGTCATTTTGCCATTTTGAGACTTACATAAATGGAATCATACAGTATGTAACCTTTTGAGACTGGCTTCTTTTCATTCATCATAAATCCCCTGAGATCCATCTGAGTTGCTGAGAGTATCAACAGCTCATTCCTTTTCACTGCTGAGTAGTTTCCCATGGGATGGATGTACCACAATTTTCAACCATTCATTCACCCACTGAAGGGCATTTGGTTTTCCAATCCTCAGCAATTACAAATAAAGCTACAGTGACATTAGACCTAAGTTTTCATTTCTTTAGGATGAATGCTCAGGGGTACAATTGCAGGGTCACATGGGAAGTATATGTTTCATTTCTAAAGTAACTGCCCAATTTTTTTCCACAGTGGCATTTTGAGTTTTCAAACATGAGTATTGAAAATCAAAAACCAAGGATTTTTTTTTTGTTTTCAAACCAAGGGTGTTAATGTCGAATCTGACCATGTCCCCTACAATCAGGCCACCAGTGGTATTTCTCTTCCCTGACCTGGAGAGTTTCCCGGGTGAGTGACATCAGTGTTAAATCCGCCATCTCTCTCCTCCTAGGTGTGATACAGATAGTGGAGGTGATACTGAATGGGATGATTCTCATGTGTATCGTGGCCTCTTACTTTGTCCTTGCTGGATTCAGCGCCAGCTTTGCGAGCGGCGGCGGATTTGGGAACAACTATTACTCACCATTTGAGGGCACTGAGCTGGAGCAGGTTCGGCAGCTGGACCAGCAGTACACGGTCCTCCGGGCACCCCTGATATATGGCGGCGTGGCTGTTTCTCTGGGGCTGGGTGTCCTCACCTTGGGTGTTTTACTCCAAGGAGCCAAGAGTCTGAACAAACTGCCAAGGAAGTGGCTCCTCCTGGAGGCCGCCTTCAGCCTTCTTGCAGCGGTAGGCTACTGCGTAGGCATCGGTGTTTACCTCCACGCTGCCTTACAGATCAATTCCACGGACACGTGCAGGACAAGGGAGAGGGTCTACGCCCGCAAGGGGCTCACCTGGATGAACTGCCAGCTGTCAGGCACTGACGGCGCAGCAGCCACCTTTGCTTGTCTTCTGGTGATCATGTACGGTGCCAGTGTGGTGCTGGCCCTGCGGAGCTACCGAGAACAGAAGCACTACCAAGACAGCCAAGAACAGCACAGAAATTACAGTGATGCACCAGAATACCTGTGGTCTGGAACACTCTGAGGTCTTCTGGAACCTAAATGTCAACCCACCTCCCTTATTTCTCTCAAAAAGATGGGTCCGTTGAAATTGCACATTAGACAACAGTGGTTTCACATAACTTGATTTTATAAATGCTCCCTTTGGTACCAGTGCAAAGCTAAATAATCATCCCATTTTTCTGTAAGTCTTTGTTGGCTGAAGAGCTTGAAAAAAATACCTCCACCTTTGCTACAAAGAATAACATCCCAAATTTGGGTATACCCTTCTGGTTTGGCTCCCTTGCCAAATGGTAAGGTAATAATCACAACAGCTAAATAGCCAGAGAAATTCTGAAGATGAGAACGACACATCAGGGATAGCAGGCCCAGTGTGACAGTAGAGATATCTTTCCTGTCCTAACTAAAGTCACTAAGAAAAACATTCCATTTCCCCCTGTATTTGGTCCCAGTGGAATGATTTTAAAGCATTTGTGTGGTTAAAGTCCAAATGAGTTATTACACTGGGCTCCTGCTGGAGCATGAGGGAGCAAAAGTAACAGGTGCCCTTGCTCACTCCCCAGGGAGGAGCGAGCAGCTGGGTCCTAAGTGGGGTGAGGGCAGGCCTTCGAAGGTGGGTCATAATCTCTCATGACCCTGAATTGTTTCCATAATGTAAGATAACATTAACACTGAATCTCAAAAATAAAGTTCTTTGAATAATTTTAACCTAAAATTTTATAGCTGTTCTTACACTTCACAACTAGTCTCAGATTTTCAGTTCATGTTGGATACAACTAGAAATACATGTTCTTATTATAAAGTGTAGTTTTTTCCCAAGTTGTCCTCTTTTTTTCATAATATTGTTTAATTTTCCTGTTATAAATGAAATAAACTATTACTAAGTACAAACCAAATTTTTAGTACAGTTCTAAAAACAGCAACTGAAATTTTTTTTTGTTTTTTTTTGGGGGGGAAGGGCTATGTTTAAATTTTATTTTATTTAATGGAGGTACTTGGGACTGCACCCAGGACCTTGTGCATGCCAAACATGCACTCTACCATTGAGCTAAACTCTCCCCTCTAAAAACAGCAATTTTGACATAAATATCAGATTCTCTAATCTATATAGTTAGTAAGAAATCAGCACACACTACTATACACAAGGCAGATAACAAGGTCCTACTGTATAGCATAGGGAACTACATTCAATAGCTTGTAGTAACCTATAATGAAGAATAATATGCAAAAGAATATATATGTATAACTGAATCACTATGCTGTACACCAGAAACTAACACAACATTGTAAATCAACAATACTTCAATTAAAAAAAAAAAGAAATCAGCAAACACAGGTCTGTTTCAATGTATACCAAAATGACTGTTAAGAAAAATTAAGTCAATGTCATTTTCCTTTGATGTGTGTTGGCCATTTTTACTCCTGCATGTTTGCTGACTCTTCTCCTTGGAATGTATTACCTTTCCTCTCTCCTCTCAAATCCTTCCAAGAGCTAATTCTTATAGAACCTAGTCATGGCGAAGGATCAAAACTAAACCTCATACAGAAATAGGAAAATATCTAGATTATACTTTTACAAAAAGTAAAGCCTGGAGGAAAATAATCAACTAGAAATCTTCACTGCTAGGTTACCATACAAACACTGGTGCCACAGAAAGGTCCTTTTGCTCCACCGCCTTAGCCCTGGGGCTGTGGCCAGAGGCCCGCAGTTTTCACTGAGTTTTGTAAGACAAGACGTTTAATAGCAGCAGAAATCAAACAACTCACCTACTTTCCCACCCTACTCCCCCCAAAAACTTCCTCAAACACTATCGTCACTTAGGATTTATCACCTGAACATGGCCTGAGTAGATCTTTGCCCATACCTGGGCCCTGGGCTTGAGAAAATGAGGACTTTGGCCTCTCTGACCCCGGGGCTGTGCCCAGGCCCAGCTGCGATACTGCTCCCAAGATTGAGCTCCTCTCAATCACTCCACCATTGTAGGTTCAAAACACTGAAAACGCCTTTAGCAAAACTTGTCTTATTTACCACCACCTGTCAGGTTCTTACTTACATTTTACAGATGAGGAGACAAAGGACCAAGAAGGTGAAGTGACTCACCCAATTCTTGACGTTCCATTGACTGCTCACTGTGCCAGGTCCGGTACTGAGCTAAGGAAGCATTTGCTGGCATCATCTCATCTGATGAGAGAGATACTATTTCCATTTAGCAATTGAGAGGAAAAACAGCTGAGCCTTGGAGAGGTGAACGTGCCTGAAGTCAAATCCCTTGAAGTAGCAGAGGCAAAACTCAGACTCTGAATCACACAGGGGAATGTGTCCTGAGGGACGAGTATGCTCTCGGGGTGTGTGATGCACCAGGGAAATAGTATCAAACAAAGCAGAGAACACACTCAGAGAATTCACTTCTGCAGCCCTGGAAAAGGCAGGTATTCCAGGAACCGAGTTATTAAAGAAGTAGATGGTGGCCTTGAGCCTAGCACATTGGAGGTGCTCAATGAATAGTTCGTGAGTTTTCATTCTGCAAAATGAGGAGGAAACCTGCAAAATGATTTCACCTAGGCCTTTATTTGGAGTGAGGTAGCTAATCTTGCTTGGAAGCCCTGAGATCATGAGAGACAACCAACGGAGGTGGACAGTTTAGAGGCTTACCTGGATTAGAACTGTTTTGTGAGCCTAAACCCACTACTGTCTTAAGTTCTACCACCAAAGCCATTAGGAAAGGCATGATGGCTGGATTACCCACTTAGTTCCTGCGTCACTGTTAGCTCTGCAGTTTAAGAGGAGCTGTAGATTATTTACAGGTTGAGTTCCCTCTAGTCAGCTAATAACCTGCATGTAAATAAGGACCATGTTTCCTGTCTTGGGGATGTCTTTAAACATACAAACCAAGTCAGAATATAATATTTCTTAATGTAAAAAATCTTTATTGCTATTTAAGCTTCAAAGGTGATCAAAAATATTTATTCTTTCCTTAACTTAGAGCTTCATAGTGTCATGGAATGTGGTTTCATTTGCTGTCTTCCCCTAAAGCAAGAAAACACAGAAAAATCCTAAAGGTGCTTTTGGTTAGGAACCTAATTCTATATACAAGCTGGAGAAAATTGCAGTTTCATGCTAAAATAAAGTAACAGGTATTCCGTTTGAAAACAAAGCCATGAAAAAGATACTCCATTTTATTTTATTTATTATCGTTATTGTTATTTTTTACAAACAATAGATTTGCTGCAACATGCTCTGGCTCATATTATTGAATTAAAAAATTTAACACATTTCAAAAATATCAAAAATACACTATAATGAGTCTTAGGACTACAATACGACAATGATTGCACAAAACCATAAGATATGAACTCACTGTCTGGATGGCATCCACTGGCAACAGTGAGAGAAAACCCTACAGCGTCTGGGAGAAGTGCATGGAAATTTAGAATACAAAGAGCTTATGTGTGACTGAATGATCACCAAATGAGGGAAACAGAGCAGGATTTACTGTAGCTGCTTTTCTCAATCTAGTAAGTGCTTACCCAACTATGGAGCAAAAGTCACTAACTGGAGAGAAAGATTAACTTGCCTCGATGACTGGGGAGTCTGAAAGGCCCCACCCAGAGGGAAGTAAAAAGTGACACAAGACAGTTCTACAGTGATGCTGCAGACATCACCGAATGGCTTGGAGACTAATTATTTAATAATTGGTACATTTATCAATAACAGCCAAGTGCTCCCTTATGGAGGTCTCTTCATTAGTAATTATTGAGTAGATAGAGAAGGTGAGCCTGTGGCTTCCAAGTACCTGCTTTTGCTGAAAGTCTACATGAAAAGAAGGGCATCCTTTGATATTCAGTAGATCAGCCAAACCTAACTGGCTCCATCTCCTATAAAACAGTATTCGCTACAAACAATTAAAATAGCACCCAATGATTACCAAGCTGCTCGTGCTGGCTCTTCTATACACCAGGAAAATGAATTCATCAACTTATTGCACACACACACACACTCTACAGTAGTATAATAAAGCCCTCACTCACGTGTTTGAGGAGTGATAATTCAGTGACCCTTATGGTAGCATGGTAGCTTTATGACATACTAGCATTCAAACTTTCAAATATATTTCCAATCTACTTGGATAAAAATCAAAATACCATGGTGGCCAAGACTTGTGTATTTTTCTTTCTTCCATGGGACTTCTAGACTGCTCCCCTAAGAAGGAGTGATGTCCTTTCAGAAATTCTTTTTGTTTTTTTTTTTCCCCCTTTCAGAAATTCTCTTAAGCGTCTCTATTAAATGGGAGATACACACAGGGACCTGAGAATCATGCAGAGGCCGGAATCTCTGGGCTAGAGATCAATGGGCCTCTGCCCACCTGGGGAACACATCCTCTGGGTAAAGTCCTGGGAAGGAGATTACATTCACCTGGAGACAGATTACTGGCTTTCACCATCTGAGAATCTAATCAGATCACACAATAATTGTAAATGACTTCATAGGTCAAGAGTTCTCTGTATTTTTGGTGATGGGCTATGGCCTTTTATCCTCTGTCTAAACAAAGAGCAATTATAGAGGGAAATGAATTAAAGGAAGTTATAAAAAAAGAATAGTCAGTTTTGGTATGGCCTATATTAAAGGGTTTTGATACAACCTAATGATACAACCTAATGTTTCCTGAACATAAATCTACCATATAAAAGAACATTTGGAATTTTAGAGTTCTTCTGACTAAAAAGTAAATAAATACATTTACTTTTAGTAAAGTCATTCCGTAACTGGGTTTTGTGCTGGTTCCAATTAGTAGGGTGGGAAACAGAAGACAAGAAAAGGGTTCACAGATAAAGGACAATTTTTAAGACAATTTTAACTATGATATTAAAGTGGTATATTCCCAAAATAATTTCCATCACTATTATCTTGAGTTTTTCCTTCATTTTCATTTTTCCTTCATCCCCCCCCCATTTTTCCATATAAAAATAAGGCGGCAACACGCTATTGTTCCCATCTTTCTAACAGCACCTGAACTTTGCATAAACCACTATGTTCTCCACTTCAAATCAAGACCTGAGTTCTAAAATTTTTCAGTAGCTAACCAGTAGTTTGACACAGAAAAGTCAAGTGTTCCTGACAATCTGGGGACTCAAATTCCAATTCTTGAGGGGTTGAAAATTAGACAGCGATTGGTATGGAATCCCCTAAGAGTGTACCCCACTGATACACACACGCAGGCATGGGGCCTCTGAGAAGATGAAGATACATAATCATTTGTGGACAGGTCATCTGGTTTGCTACTACTGCTTTAACAAAAACATAAAAACAAAAACAAAAACAAAAACAAAAAACCCCTACATGTATATGTATAGATCAACCCTATCTTTAATATTGTTTCTTGTGAAACAAAAGTGGTTCCATTCTATTTTCTTTTTAATTGTGAAAGTATTCTAAAAATTCAAAGCACATTCCCCATTGGGTAAAATCAAGCAATGTCAAAACTTTGTAGGAATAAAAAGGAATTAATTTTCCTACGTAAATCTCCTAATGGAAAAGGCATCAGAACAGAAATATAAAAGGAACTGCATTTTGCTAGGGTTACATGGAATGTGCAAAAAATACAGTAAACCAGGTCTTCTGTAAGCTTAGGATTTTCTCAATTAAGTCCTTCAGTAATTGAGCCCAGTACTCTGAAACCATGTGAGGTGGATAAGCAGTTTTTGGAAGA